GGGGCTGTTCCGAGCATTTTATTACTTTTTAATCCGAAAACATTTGACCACCCTAACGCAAGACATGGTGTATGAGTTCTGTAGGCCCTGGTAAAAAAGGTATAGAAATGTCCAGTGGTATAACTTAAAAAGTCTGGATAATCCTTCGATTGATAAAGAGTCAAACTTTATATCATATGTAGAACTACAAAAAGGGATATAATCTGCGCTTGTATGATGAGAAGTCCGACCGACTGTGCTTCCGTTTAGTTGCATTTCGTGTCGTCTATATTTATTTCATTCTTCTACTACGTTTTTTGTTTGCTACCAGCCCGCTCCATATTATGTTTCTTTTGCCTCGGCAATACGATGCTTTAAGGCACAAGTGGAAGGGCTGTTGCGTAGATACCCTCCGTGAGCCAGTAAGGCCTCTCGGGTCTTAACCTGAAAAATCCCGCATCCTCTAATATACAGGGTGTCACAAAAGAAAATTTACACGGTATTTTTTACCGCAAAAATAAACTAGGCACCGCCGAACGCTCATTCTCCGCCCAAAGGTAGAGCTAGAGGTCACAACCAGATGCCAACGTTTCAGCCCGATCCGATTACTTAATCAAAAGTTATAAGTCATTATCTGAAAATTTCAATGGGAAAATGGAGCGGATTTTCGCCCGTTTTCGGTTTCTGGTGCCATAGAGCCCCATGTGTTTTAAAACTCCGTCGGCCGCCATTTTCCCATTGAAATTTTCAGAAACTAACTTATAACTTTTAATTAAGTTATCAGATCGGGCTGAAACTTTGGCATCTGGTTGTGACCTCTAGCTCTACCTTTGGGCGGAGAATGAGCGTTCGGCGGTGCCTAGTTTATTTTTACGGTAAAAAGACCGTGTAAATTTTCTTTTGTGACACCCTGTATGTGCCGTTGTACCAACATTTGTCGGAGGCTGATGTTGTGTTAATTTCGATGAATTCCTAGCTTCCAACGTCAACTAAAATTGTTACAACGCCATTGACATTTGGTTCAAACTGGTAAGTTAGCGATAAACTAACATTTGCCTTCTTTCCTGGCGGTAGCATGAACACCTAGCCTATTTCTCTAAAACTCAGATTCCGGGCTGCGCACTGGCAGTCTTCTGCAGATTGATATTTTTCTACTCTCGAGCCTAAATTTGCAATGTAATTAAAGCCCCCGCGTAGATTTATTGATAAGAATAAATAATGACAAATAACATAAACCTAATAATTAATAATTAATGAGACGTACCTTCACCTGCAAACTGAAACAGAAGATATCAAAGATCATACGTCACCGAAGGAATGGTGTCTAAGAGAATGTTGCCAATCTCAGATATTTTTTATGCAGAACTCATACTTTAGAATATTCTTAACGGAAGCAAACGATACGTTAAATTATTCTTCAAGAACTATCTAGAAAAACCGTGAACTATAAAAAAAAAAAAACAGGCGTAGTTTGAAACTTTAAACCCATATTCCGGTGGAAAAAACCAGCCGTCGTATAGCAAGCACAATATACTTTTCGTCTAAAGCTCGTCACACTATAAGGTGCTGGAGAAAATCAGCGGTGTTCGTAACGTCCTTGCTTGAAACTCTTTTTGGGGTCCAAGCTAGGTTGCCGGGTTGGTAATATACGGTATTCGGAAAATGGCGTGGCTGTAGCTGACTTTAGGCGCTTCGTCCGCGTGCGCGTGTGAACGAACCGCGCTGAAATGAACATCTGTGTATGGGCTTTTACGAGAATACTCATAGCTGGCCGAATGAGCAAAGCGCTGGTGCAATTAGGAAATAAACAAAAAAAACAAGAAAAAAAAAAACATTAAGCGAATAGACCGATCCCACCAGCCAGTTTGAATACGCCACCGCTGCCGCAATGCATCGAGGGAACTTTAGTACTTCTGCACGTGCGAAAACCTCGATAGAGCTCGGCGCGTGTAGAGCATGAGACAGCACGAGCCCTCGCATGCACCGCTGTCCGCCTCCGGTGATCTAAAGTTATGGCGGCGTCACGCATGCGCCGAACGCTTACCGCTCCTTCATACTGGAAGCGGATCCGCGTTCGCAAAGCGGTTGCGAACGCGGTTGTATGAAAATCCAGTACAATTGCACGCGCACTCGATGACATCAAGTGCGCGTACAATTGTACTGGATCTTTATACAACCTCGTTCGCCACCGCTTTGCAAACGCGGATCCGCTTCCAGTGTAAATGAGCGGTTAGTGAGATCGGTCTATTGAACACCGCAAGGAAATAAGAACATGCTATATGCACTAACCTGAGGCTTAACTTCAACGCTCCGTGTTGAGAGGGCTTATGAGTAAAGCGCTTGGGTGGCTGACCGAAAATGGATAAAAACACCTGTGCCTTTCCGTGCCTTGCTGTACACTACACTTTGTTCTAATCGGTCGTCCGAGGGTACATGTAAAACTTGTCACTCAGGTTGAAATAAAGATAAAATGCTGGGAGCATATGTGTCCGCAAATGCCTGCTTGCTAATTTCATGCTTTTGATGTTGAAAACGGGACTCTCCTACTGTAGTGCCTTTTGGGCGCTGTAGGTTAAAAAAAACAAAAATGCAAAAATAAATTGTGAACTAGTACCATATGTGAAACATATTTTCACGAATGACAAATATTGAAGCGGATAATAACTAGAGAAACTAAACGTTTAATAGGGACGAACATGTACTCGAAACAAAGTAATGGAAGGTTAGCGTCTGACACAATCGGCGTAGACGCAAGGACCGGCGCGTAGAACATTCGTACCTCGAATAAGCACCACGGTTCTAACATTTGCCAGAACGCGACCTCTCTGCGTGGGAGGCAAGCGCAATAACCGCTCGGCTGCGGGCGCGCTGCCTGCATGGCAATCCGCGCCCACGGCAATACCCCCATTTAAAAAATGTATCGCCCCGATGCAACACAAGAAGGAAATAAAGAACACTAAACTAAAGAGTCATTTGGAACCCATAGATTCCACAGTCCTATCGAGCGTCTAATCGAATTTGTCGAACGACGTGAACAATCTCGGGTCGCAGTCGCCGTTGCGATGACGAGTGCGTTCCGTAGGGCATTACTTCCTAGTTGAGATCTCCCAGGTGTTGAAGACCTTGTAAGGTCCCAAGTAGCACTTTAAACGCTTCTCCCTGAGGCCATGGCGTTGCATCGGTGTCCACAGCCAGACCCGGTCTCTGGGCTGGAAGTGAACGTCGAGACGACGAAGGTGGTAGCGGTCAGCGTCGACACGTTGCTGGACTTTTTTTATTTAGGGGATGCTACAGTCCATTGAAGTCCCATGTAGGAGTGGGGTAGAACATAGGCATTCACACATACAACAATAAACAAATAACACGGCATTAAAAGGTGTACAACAACTAGCAAATATACCGTATATATATATTTAAAAAATCTGCACCGGATCTGCATCCGGACTCGTGCGAGCTGACGCACTTCTGCTCGTTGCGCAACCACCTGGGTGTCGTCGCTTCCGTCACGAGCTGGCTCATGAGCTAGCATGGCGTCAAGAATCGTGGTCCCTTTGCGATCATGCAGCAGCTGTAATGGTGTACGACCAGTGGTCTCGTGAACCGATCTGTTCTAGGGTAACGTGACATACGGCAGGACCTCGTCCCACGTCTTGTCTTCCACGACGACGTACATCGACATCATCTCAGCGATGGTCTTGTTCAGGCGTTCTGTCAGCCAATTAGTCTGGGGATGGTACACTGTGATTTGACGGTTGTTGATGTGGCTGAGACAGAGGATCTCTTGCATCAGCTGTGCCATGAATGATGTCCCACGATCTGTAATCAGAACTTCGGGTGCGCCGTGTCGGAGTACGATGGGCTCGATGAAAATCTCGGCGATTTTCAGAGCAGTTCATAAAGAAAGGGCTTTGTTTCGGCGTATCGAGTGAGATAATCTGTGGCGACGATTATCTAGCCGTTTACCGACATTGACGGCTGAAAAGGGCCAAGTAAATTCATTCCAATCTGTTGAAACGGCCTGGGCCGGTTTTCTCGAAGCGATGGTAAACCCATTTTAGTAAACCACGGTACCTAGGAAGGAAAAAGTACTATCGGGGAAAAATGAAATGCGAACAGAGGAGCGCGTGGCTCGCCGTACAAGCTGCGCCGCCTGGAAGTGAGCCTAGGGGCGAGGGTGCGTGGCCTACTCCGACGTGTTCACGCCCCTCCCTCTGCGCTCCCCAAGCTTCAGCAGCGCGCCTCTTAGTGCGCTGAAAGCTATCACCGCTATCTTTGCTGGCTCAGCGCGTGCGGAGCAAAGAAGCTCGCCGCACTCGCCGAGCAGGCAAAGATAGCGGTGACAGCTTTCAGCGCACTGAGAGGCGCACTGCCGAAGCTGGGGAGCGCCAATCGAAGGGTGTGAACACATCGAAGTAGGCCACGCAGCCTCGCCCCTAGGCTCACTTCCAGGCGGCGCAGCCTGTACCGCGAGCCACGCGCTCCTCTGTTCGCATTTCATTTTTCCCCGATAGTACCTAGGTACTATAATAAACGGCTGGATATAAAACCACAATAATTATTTTTGATTGGGCAGTAAGATGCGTCATCTATCGGTGAAACAAGCCAGTCATTTTGTTTATTCTCTTTTTCCGCTGGTTGTTATCGCTCTAGTATGATATTTTAAGTCAAAATATAGTAATGTTGTACTTGAAGAACAATTTATTTGCTTCAGATGCTACGAAGAAATTTTAGCTACCATGCTAGAGTTTGTCGACGAATATTTGAAGACGTAAGAAACATTTCCTTCAATATGTTTCGCCATAAACAACGCATAACTTTCCCGAGTCCCTTCCAGTCTGGCAACGCCGCTGCTGTAGACTCGTTTTTGTTCCCTGCGACGCACGTTTCTACGATTCCTGCTGATCTCAACTGTTTGCCCCCTCTTCCGTTTGCCCAACCGATCCACCGATTAGCCCACCGACCGACTGCGGACTTACTAACAACTGATTTGAGGACCTATTTGTACTTTGATAACGGAAACGATGTCGAACGGGACGAGGCGTCGACGTCGACGAGACCGCGCGTACGCGCAGTACGCTGTCGTCATGCTGGGGCGACAACGTGTGTTCCGGGACCGCCTCGATCCGCTGGAAGAATTCGACGAGGATGCGCTGCAGCAACGATTCCGGTTTGGTCGCGCGGGAATTATGTTTCTCGCGGAGACGCTGCGCCATGACTTGGAGCGGTCGACGCGTCGCAGCTGCGCCTTGTCCGCAGAGCAGCAGGTGATCGTCGCTCTGCAATTCTACGCCACAGGCAACTTCCTCATCACTGCAGGCGACTACGTCCACGTGCAAGTCTCTAGTGCTTCACGGTCCGTGAGGCAGGTCACCGTAGCTCTGGCACGTCGAGCAAGGGACTTCATACGGTAAGACTTCATACGGTAAAGAGTTCCTGAGCGTTCCGAGTCAAAAAAAAAAGTCAGATTGTGTTGAGTTTGTTTATGAGTAAAGCTATACGCACTCCGTCGTGCACTTCGGCCGGAAAGGGCTATAGGCTCCTTGCACTGACGTCACATCACACACATTTGAACACCAAGTAAAAGGAGAAGAGAGAAGCTGCTTTTGTAAGAATTTTGAGTGACAGGTTAATCTTCTATAATCTTCTGGGAGGAGAATGGCGACGCCTGTGCAAATCCGGGAGGCACAAAGGAGGATCCTGATAAGAGGGGAGCTCCTTCTTCCCCTCTTTTCTGGAGGGCAACGGAAATGACGTCCTGTGCAAGGAGCCTATACGCAATACGCGAAATTGCCCTACAGAGAAGAGGGAAAGAAGGAGCTACCTTCTTATCAGGGTCCTCCTTTGTGCCTCCCGGGTTTGCACAGGCGTTGCTATTCTCCTGCCAGATGATTAGAGAAGATTAACCTGTCACTCAACATTCTTACAAAGGCAGTTTCCCTCTCCTCCTTTTACTTGGTGTTCAAAAGTATGCGATGTGACGTCAGTGCAGGGAGCCTATAACACGAATGGTTACTACGTGTTTTATAAGCTGTGGCATAGCATAGGGTTAAAAAAAAAAAAAAGATGGCATAGCATAGGGGCATACACCGTGCATAGGGGGGTAAGGTGTCTGCTTCATACATAAGTGGACACGGGTTCGATCTACGGTGTGGGCCCACTTTTTTTTCTCGAACATTTTGTTTTGTCGAGGCATTTGGCGATATTTACGACATTTCTTTTTTACGATGAACACTGAAGCAGAAAAAAAAAAACGAATGTTGTTGGCTAAACTTTGCATAAATGTGCATGCTAGGGTATTGTGCTGTAAATTAACTTGTGAATGTATCGGCAATGCAGGTGGCCTGACGTCGCAGAGAGTGCTGCCTTGCAGGAGCAGTTCTTTGACGTAGCCGGGTTCCCTTGTGTCGTGGGTGCTGTTGATGGCACCCACATTCGAATCCAGGGACCGCGCGTGCACGAGGAGGTGTACGTGAACCGCCACCTGTACCACTCCATCAACGTACAGGTGGTAGTTGACGCGTCCTGCCGCATACGCAATGTGGTTGCGAGATGGCCAGGAAGCACGCACGACTCCCGGATTTTCACCGAAAGCACACTATCAGTCAAGCTGGCCGATGGCATCTACGATGGCCTATTGCTCGGCGACAGCGGCTACACCTGCCAGCCGTGGCTGATGACGCCATTCCTGCCGCCATCATCAGCAGCAGAAGTGAGGTACAACACGGCACACACCACGACAAGGAGTATTGTTGAAAGGTAAGACAAAGCCACGCATCGTGGTGGGTTACTGGGCTGCTATATTGAAAAGAATGCCACTAGACAACGTAACATTTTGTTGTTATAGCACAGAAGACACTGTTAATTGTAACGCCCCTACATGCAGTTTTGTGTTCTCTAGACCCAGCAGAAAACAGTAATTGCACGGAACCTAAAGAGAGAAGAAAGAAAATACTATCCCAAGAATATATATTTATTGATTGTACTTTCCAGTGCCCCTATACAGCCCGATGGCCTGCATAAGGGTGCAACGTAGACACATATATGCAGTGTTGCATAAAAAAGTAGACATGCAAAACGCATGCATCGTATCAAAAAACAAAAACGTGAAATATTCTCCAACATATTTTTTGGAGAACATATCACATTGTTCGTTCGTTAGGGGCAGGATTTGTTACATACGTGTGAAAGGCAATATTTTGGTTCAACCTGGATGCAGAAGAGCAAAAAGATACAAATGCAAAGCCGTGTTTTTTTTTTCCGGCCCCACCTTTACAGAAATTACACGCCTACTTGCCATACATTCTAATATACTCCACACTGCTGGGACTCGCCGTAAAAATGTGACAAATTGCACCGGGCTCGGGTTGCTATAGGGAAGTCGTTGACAGACATCTTCGGACTGCTAATGTTAACGACTGTTTGTATGAAACTGTGTTTCGCTTACACTCAGCTATGAGGAACATTTGTCGAGGGAAGTTTAATATGGTCTACATGTAAACATACTGTTATATATCTTGGCAATGATAAGAAATGATTGCCGGGTTTTCGGTAGGCTACAGCATTCAGAAAGTATGAAATAGTCTCAGCCCTAATATATTAGTGTAATTTAAATAAATAATACTCATTCTGTCCATATGATGCACGCAGGACAATAGGCCAGCTGAAGCGCAGGTTCCACTGCCTGCACGCCGAGCTGCGCATGGAGCCAAGCAGATGCTGCGACATCATCGTGGCATGCTGCGTGCTCCACAATCTCGCCAAGAGATACCCCTGCGCGATGCCAGGGACTGCCATCCCGCCTGAGGTTCCTGTGGAGCCCATGGCAGCCGGCCGTGGAGAAAGCAACGAGGCCCGGCGTGCCCTTGTCGACCAGTTCTTCTGTTGAGCGTAAGTATGTGGGTATGTGTTCTTTTCAATTCAAACTGGTTTTCTTGAATGCGAGAAACATACAGAGATATTGTCCTCTCTGTGTGTTTACCAGGCTCCGTAAATGGATAACCATAATAACAAGTTGAATGTGGCACGCGATTTCATATAATAAATTTTCTTGAATGCTTCGTGGCATCTTTTGGCTGTGGTTTTACCAGCAGCTGATATAAGGGGCTGAACCAACCCTAGCATATTCCTTGGAGAACATAGATATTTTAATCTTTATTAAGCACTCTTCATGTATGGTTTCAATACGAGGGTAAACGGCTAGGCTTTGCGGAATTCACTCGTTGCAAAAGAATGGAAGCATTGGCAGATATTAGAGCAAGCAGATGTTGTGCTGCGACTGCTATCCACCTTTATTTGCAAAAGCGTCGCTTGGAGACGATGCAGCGCCCGTCGTATGCCGCTCAGGCGTCCACCCTCATATCGAACATTGTAGCAGAAAGAGTGCCTCAAACATTGCAAACCATATTGTCTCGCAAACCCTCTTCATTGCAGCATGTTTTTTTTTGGTTGCAACAATGACATGCACTTAAGATGTAATGTGGCGGTGTCCAAACAAGGTAACTCTTCTGAACAGCATTGCAGGCACGGATCAGAATCATTCTCGCCTCATCCACTTTCGGTATGTAGCAACAAATGCCCAAAGATTGATTGAGATGTCTTGCAGCGTACCTCGTTATAAAAGGTTAGAGTTGGTCAAACAGCATAATTGCAACTGCGTTTAACAGTGAAATTGCTGCATGACCCATGGAACCACATACGCAAAAGTCCTGCAATATATTGCTGTTGTGTGCCTCGGTCAACAGTGCGTGCGGCTTTTGTGCGAAAAGCTTCGGCCCACTTCTGCGTGTTGGTCATCGTGCTTGTCTTCGTACTACAGGCTACGCGAACATCAATGCCTTCAGTGCGAGTAATTATAGGGGTGAGCGAAATAATAGCCTTAAAAATAATACCATTTCATTTTATTGCGCCTCTGTCCTATAAGTTGGTATTATTACCATATTTAAAAGTATTCTACAGGTGAGAGGAGTCAACCTGTATGCGTCACAGTAGTGGTCTGATTATAACAGCCACTAATGGGTCATGTACATAAGAGGAATAATTCTGTCATTGGTTATTTCACTTAGTAAAAGAGTAAAGGGTGTATAAAATCGCTGTCGAACAACGTTGAAGTATGGTAATGCCTGTTTTTTTCGGGAAGTGAACAAAAAGAGTACAGAGTTCCTGAACAATGTAAATTCCGCGACACACTCTCCTCGAAGAAATCAGGCACACCGAGTGGTCACACCAGTAACCATGCATTTAAACGCATAATCACTGTTTGCGCCGTGCAGGCACTTCCTAGGTTATTTGCTTACTTGCTGTTTTGTTTTGAGCAGGGTCCAATTGTTAAGCTTCTTTCCTTAGTGCCCAACAATGATGTTTTTGACGTGTCGACAGGCTTGCGCACATGTATGGAAACTCCGCTGGTTAGATTGTCGCTGGTGTCGGATACCAATGTGGTACTCTGGAATACTGGGGAGGCGATAAAGATATTTCATTATTCGTTAAAATTACTTACACCATCTTACTGGCTGTCGCATAGGGTCGAGTGTTTTTCTCCAGGGACGACTACCCCATAACATACTGACGTTTTCACAAATCCTTGCATTTCAAAATGTACTTTTATTATTTCACATCCGCCCTTGCTTCGTCAATCTAAAAAAAAAAAGAAATCGTAGAACTTAATGCCCCCCCCCCCCCCTTGGTCTGTTCTGATTACTCCTTTCCCAATTGTTTTTTCAAAAGCTCAATTTGAAGTTCAGCCTGCAAGGTTTGTAGCCTTAGCATTTCAGTGTAATACTAGCTGTTTAGCAGCATCTGCTGCAGCGATTTGTGCATTGGAGGCATCTATCGCTCTTTTTGTTGCCTCCCTATCCAACAGGAGGTTCTCCGCCTCCATCTGCTGCTGGTCCTCAGCTTGCTGCTGATACCTCTGCGCAGCTTCCCGGCACCAACGTCTCGTCTGCAAGACACGGGGAGCTGCTGCCCACTCTTCTGCTGCTGCCACCCTTTGGCCGCTTCCTGACGCCCGAGGCTGCGGCGCTGCCGTTTGCCTCAAGCTATCGCTGTGACAAATGGATATGCAGGAAGTGATTTGCTGTAGTTATTAGGAGCGTGCAGGCAACATACGTATAACATACAGTGTTTGTAACCCCGACATGTTGCTGGAATTTTGCCACAGTGTACTTAACTGTAGAACAGAAACTCTCTGATGCTTCAAGCATCTCCGAGTGGACCACACACATGTTGCTCATGCAGAAATCCATGCTCACCGTAATATCCCGAGAAATTGCCCACCCAAAACTGAGAGCACATTAGGTAAAAATAAGGGGTAGGCTAACATTCGGTGTTCACAAGGTAGCTCAACTTGAGCCATTGAAAAATAGAAAGTCCTGCTACAAATCAGGATGGGCTATCTGTTGGGGATGGGTCGTCTCTCGAGATATTACGGTAATATTCCTTGTACCGGTTGCAACTTTCAGTATTTCATTATCTTTAGCATTCTTATAAATTGCTTAACCTTGCCATTTATTTCACCTAAGGATGTTGTGAAACCAAACATTCAAGTCTCGTTGTTTACGAAATCCACGATGCTACAAAAGAGTTTTCGCTTGGCTATGTATAAAGTCAATCTTGCTATGGCTTTCTATCCTGCTATTAAACCGATAACTGGTGCCAGCAACGCTACCTCTTTCCTTTTTGCATTCCGCACTAGTTCGTCACAGCATAAACGATGAGTTTGTTCACTCATTCAACAACTAATCAAATATCATGCGTAACAACAGGCTTATACCTTTCTTTTTCAAAGGAAGAATATCGTCTTATTTGTTGCGCCTGTTGGTTAAGAGGTTACAACTAAATATCACCACCTTGCATTCCTTCAACCATCAAAAAGTGTACTACAACTCTGCTCGCATATCTGCCTTTGGTACATCGGTAGTTCTGTTGTCTGGGTGTTAGTTATGTTAGTAATGAACACATTTTGCTACATATCCTTCTGTGTGTATTTTTTTGCAGGTTGCTTGTAGAGCAATTATGCAGCCGTATGAGTAAAATGAAGAGGAATTCACGATTACATGCTTGCCATAAGTGACCCAAAGGCAGTGCAGTATGTCCGCTAGCCTGGGCTCCCTATCCCTAACCTGCATCACGCAGTAGTGATACATGAAAGTGCGCTGATTTCCAATTAGATATTGTGTGTATGGCACTATGACAATTTTTACAATCTCCCTGTTCTCACATCAGTTTCTTAGGGTCCCACCATTAATAACAGAGCTGTTCTGCATGCCCGGCACTCAGTGCTGTTGACTTGTCATACAGACTGATGTAAGAGTAATCCACTCACTCTTCCGTGTCACCCTCAATGACATCGAGCCCACACAGGTTCGGCGAGTCGACGCCGATCACGTCGAGAACTGCCTGAATTGGGGGCGTCAGTTCATGGGGGTTCGGGCCGGCACCTACCAAATGAATGCACATTATTTTCATTCCGTAGTCACCCGGGCCCCAGAGGCATTGCAGAGTGGAGGGGGATTAATAACCAACTACCAAGCTAGAATATAAACAGCAGAAATCCAACGGCATTATGAAGCATCAAATAAAAGCATAGTAATTTATACTGTGTGGCAGAAATGTAACTTCTTAACATTGCAGTGGAGTGATCTCGCAACAGTGACCTTCCAACATGCACATCGCTGCGTGCAATTGTGCTGCAGTCAACTTTGTACATAGCGCTTTCTGTGTGCCTTGAGGATGCAGTAGATGTAGGGTATTCAGCGACGTGTTCGATGAACAACAATGCCCTAAGTTTTAGGACTGTTTTCTAAAAAACAACAGAAAAGGCACAGTTTAGGTGGTGTGCTTTCAACATTTTGATCTCCTCTGTCTCAGGTCTACCACACTTTTTGCTGTTTCATGTGTGTCTCGGTTACTAAAACACGGTTAAAGGAAATTTCAATAAAGTGTTTTGAGATGTTGCCTCTTTTGATTTTATTACTGTTTTCGAACAAGGACAGGAATGTAGTGGCAAGTTACACGTCAACACTCACTTTTATATCTGTCATCAGTCATGCCATAAAAAAATTAAATGCAAACACGGCATTATAATCCATGGCAGAAAAGGCTCTGTTAATTTTTTGTGTCCCTGCCCCCCCCCCCCCCCCCCCCCACTCATCTTTAAAGCGAACAATTGAAAACTAGTTTGTTTTTCGAAATATGCAAATTCCTCCGACTCACCTGTGCGCCCTTCATGCTTCTTGTAGGCGCTGTAGACCTTTCTGCATTTTTTTCAGGAGGTTTTGCCACGCCTCCTTCAGCTGCTTTGCGGTCCTCTGAGCACCCTGCTCATTCATTGTATCGGCAATGTCGAGCCACGCCTGCTGTCTCGTGTGTGCAGTTACTGCAGGACCGAATTTTCCCATAATTTGTTCCCTTCTTGCCCCAACTTCCCGAATTAACTTCAATCTCTCGTCTAATGTCATAATTTTTTCCCTCTGTTCGCAAGCCCTCGATACTGACGCTTGGTCCATTTTCAACCGACGTTTGCGGTCGGGACACTATCGTCTGCTACCTTGGTTTCTCTACCCGCACACCTGCGTTTTGCTATATATCGCAATAAGACGAAAGATAATCCTAATATCACTTTTAAAAACGAAAAAAAAAAAGCGAAAGGATGATCTCGTCAACTTTCTTTGTAATAAGTGTTTGTTTATTTCTCGTTTCTGCGACTTCTGCAGATGACATCGGCAAGGTTGATTCGTATACCGCGCTTGTACTATCTTTTCCATTGGTGGATGCATCGACCGACCGTCGCGGTCAGAACTAGACGCAGCGGCACTGCTTCAGCGTAAAGCTAAGGTTCTCGTCACCGTTGAATTGCTGGCCACCGGGATATGTAGAAACCTCGATGCTGTCGGCATACTGTCGGCGCACTGCGAACAAAAAAAAAAAAAAAAAAAAAAAAAAAAAAAACGGTACAATGTCTCAGCTGTTCACGCGGAACGAAGACTTTATCGAAGATAACCCCTTTCTCCGCAAAGTAATCGCTGCTCGCGAGTTGGCGTGCATAGTGTAACAAATTAAACCTGTTCATATACCAACGCTTGTTCGCAAAACATTTTTTACTCACCATAAAAACACTTGCAAGGCTGATGTACCGTCATATGTCCAGGTCCCGGACTGGTGAAGAGTGATGCGTTCGCGGAATGCTGCCGTCGGTTAGCTTAGTTGTCCCTCTGAACTACCGCTTTGCTTGTGGAACCTTCGGTATTGCCCAGACGACAGCAAGGCACTCCTTTTTAGTCGTTGAGTTGTTTCTTTCTGCGTTTAAACAGCGCCCGAATTGCGTGCTCAATGACTCGCTCTAACCCGTCCTGCCTTTGACTAGTACCGCGCCAAGTCGGGTGTTACTGGCATCAGTGTGCATCTCTGCTTCAACGAACTGACCGAAAACGCCAAGAATCGGGGGCGTTTGGAGTTGTAGCAGCCGTGCCAGCTGTACCACTGGAGCGAAAGAAAAGAAGCCGAGGCGCACGAGAGGAGACCACGAGACACGAGCGTTGCGATTCGGCGACCGAGAGGACCGGCGGCTAGATGGGACGACGTTTTATACTGTTTCGGTTTTCTTGTAAATATTGTATATAAAATATGTTGAGTGCCACCTGATTGGTACCCACAGAGTCTTTGTTCGAGCTCATCGAATGACCGCTGGCGTTTATTTATCCACTCAAAATATAGGGCGCCCCTCGCGAGGTGCGTCAGCGCTGCGGACCGCCTAGCAAAGTTCCAATCAAACCGCCTATAATACGCAACATGGCCGCAAAAATATACTCAAGGCCTTCGTTTTAGACGGCGGCGTATATGCAGCTATGGCGCGGGTGTTTAGAGTATCATCGCGTTCGCGGATGATTAGAAGATCATCCGCAAATCGAGAAACGCGGATGATGAGATTATCATCGCGTTCTGCCATTGCTGACTTTGCGCCTGCTGAACTAGTATTAAATTTGATGTGCCCCGAGTTTCCGACGAGCTTTAAGTCGTTCCGAAATTGACTGATAGAATGGTTTTCTATTATTCTCATTATGTCTTTTTATTCTTTATTCAGATAACTCCTGCAGCGCCTAGAAGGCATTATTGCAGGGGGCGAATAATAACGAAAATAACATACGAGCATTTGGCAGCACAAACTATACATTCCTGTAAAGCGTTCCAGTCCTTGACCGTCCTCACAAAAACACGAATTTTTGCAGAGCTCTGTCCTAGTAAAGTATTCGCGTGTCTTGTGCAAATGATCATTACGTTTGGAAAAATAATTTTGTTTTAAGATGTATGATGAGCTATTAATGCCAGTAGCTTCATGATAAACGTATACAAATTTTAACCGTAAATTTTTTCGCGGAAGATCGAATGACGTCCATCCTAGTGATTGTTTCATGTTAGTTACACTGGAAAAACGGCCGTACTGGCCCAGGACGAAGCGTGCGGCACGTTTTTGTATTTTTTTCCAAGCCATCAATGCGATTTTGTTTGGAAGGGTCCCACACAGTACATGCGTAATCTAGATGTGGCCTTACGTAGGCAAGATATGCTAGTTCTTTTATTCGTTGTGTAGCGTTTTTTACGTTTTCTTGGACAAAGCCCAGTGCGCTACCCGCCTTCATAATGACATCATCAATCTGCGAATCCGATGTGCAGTCGGATGATAAAATGACTACGAGGTATTTTACTTTATTCTCATTCGTTACTAACTCATTGCTTAAATAATACTGTGTCAAATTTTTTTTACGCGTGAAGCTAATATGAACACATTTCTTTATGTCGAGTTGCATCCCCCATTCACCGCACCAATGCTCTATTCGATATAGGTCAGCCTGCAATTTTCCGGAAGCCTCCACCTTCGTCATACGCGTATACACAGCGCAATCATCTGCAAATAATCTCAGCTGGGAAGTTACATTCACATGAATATCGTTGATAAATATTAAGAATAACAATGGCCCTAGAACCGACCTCTGCTGTATACCAAACGTATATTGAACAAAATGGGACGCCTCGCCGTTTAAAATTAAAGATTGCTGACGCGAACTTAAGTATGAATGAATCCATTTTAGTGTGGGAATATCTATGCTCAAACAATTCAATTTGTGAATTAAGAACGAGTGGGACACTGCGTCAAACGCTTTCCTATAACCAAGAAAAACACGAGTCTGTTCACCTTCATCTACGGACATGACATGATC